ACAAAAAGATTAGTATATGAGGACAGAGAGAGTGAGAGAGAGTGAGAGAGAGAGAGAGAGAGAGCTGAGGGTTTAGAGAAAGCATTAAGTTATGGGCTCAATAAGATCACCACAAAGTAAACAGGCACAAATCAAACACTACCATCGAAGAGCAGGAGATTCAGAGCAATGTATTCAGCATAGGATTCAAATTACTGCACATTATGAGGAAGGGCATGACCCAGCAAGACAGTCGCATAAAACAAACTCATAAAAATGATGAAATGAAAACTGTTTTTCTTGTTTGTTTGTTTTTTTCTTTTTGATTTTTTCCATTATTATTATTATCATCCTTTTTTTTTTTTGATCCAGTAAAAATGATTTCCATTGAATGCATGACCATGCCACAAATAACACTTACGTTCACAGTCTTTACCTAACATTACAGGGGTGTGACTTTGCAGCCGGAACCCCAATGCACTTACACCAAGAAAGAGCTCACAAAATGGTCAAATAAGTGCACGAAACTAGCTCTTAGAAACACTGACAGAACATGACTTGCCAGGCATTAAAAAAATTAGAAGACATTTCCCTCGTCCAATATAATAATGACTTGTTAGCAAGACAACGAGTAACTGTCATCAAGATAATAGTATAAGCTCTTTAAATATTTGTTTTCATTGTGATATTCCCCTTTGGAAAGAAAAAAACCCACCGAAAGAAAGTGATCTGTCACAAAACATTACTGCGTCGCCTGGATTTTTCTTCTCCATCTTTTTTCTTGGGTTTTTAGAAGAACACCCTCCCTCCGCCCACCCACCCTATCCAGTCATGGAATGTGTTTTTCAATCTAATACAAATTCACCTGAAGTTTAAGTGCTAACGTACAGTACATACATTTACAGAATGACTATGTACAAAAGCTAAAAATCAAAAACGCCAAATAAAAACCCTGTCAGCTTAACTGTGTCTATATCTATTTGTGTAGGAAAATAAAAAAGAGGGGCCATAACGCTGTAGGCTTGTGCATGTGTCGCTTGCTTCCAGTAAAGGGAGAGATGCATTGTTGCTGAAGAGGGGGTCGTTGACACTGTAGTAGGATTTAAATGCTTCATGTCCACTTAAAAGTGGTCAGAAAGTTCCTCTCCTTCTCAGAGAAGTTACAACGCCACCTACTTTCATGATGCGGTCTGAAAACTGGACTGCCACAGCAAGCAAATAATAACCATTTTGTCTTTTTGTAATCATCTTGATAAGCTATGCAATGACATCTGTAGAAAAATAATACATAAACACTTTATGGTACATCTGTTATATCTTAATTTTGTTTTTTTGTCTTTTCTGTCTCAGTTTTTGAGTTTTCTTTTACCAAAATAATGCAGAATGAACAAGCCATCTGCTGGTCTTGGGCTTCATACCTTCTGATGATTAAAAAAAAGAAGGACAGAAAGAGAGGGAGAGAGAGAGAAAAAAGAGAGACAGAAATAATTTTTTCCCAAAATGTTTTTCATGCTTTAAGTCCTTGAAATTGAGACCTTAAGAGACAGACACACATGAAAAAATGTGCTTTTTTCACCCCAATAACCATCCTTCTACATAAGAATGATTCATGTACTGATACTAAAAGGTGTTTAAAAAGAGAAATATATTCAAAAATCGTAATATGTGGTGGGGGAAAAAAAAGAACCAGCACAATCTCTTAAAAAATGACAATAATGTGAAAAAAACGACAACACTACTGATAGCACTAATAATAATAATAATAATAATAATGTTTGTGCGAGAGGTAATGGGTTGGCCATGGGGTTGGTCCACTCGCCCTCACTGCTGCTTCCTGTCTTATGTGTAAGCATTGAGCCGTTCCTTGGAGCGTGTAGAGTGGATGTCATGCAGCTCCTGCTCCTCCTTGGACTTGCAGTCCTCGTATTTCTGCATTTTACATGCATCCTTTACATAGGCCCAGTTGGCAGACAGCACCATCAGGTAGTGGATCTGAAGCAACACAATATAATATTAAATAGCGGCAACAGAGAGTCAACTAAACCTTTGCATTTATATTATTCGGATACAATTGTTCTTATAAAACACACTTACACTTATAATTCTTATAAAAATACTTTAAAAAAAACTGATATATATATATAATTCAGATAACATCAACATGAAGTCAACATTCACAATTTTATTATGGACACTTATTTTTAATTTACATATGGTCAGACTGAATTTGGAGAAGAATTTACGGTAAACCTTATAGTATTCTTAATTTGAAAACTATGAAATTATTATTCATTGTATTATAATTTGTACATTTATTCATAATTCACAATTCATATTTTGTAGTTTGAAGCTGTAAATAAAATGATTACAGTACTTTTTACAAGAAAATACTATTTCATTATTTCTACTTCAAAATTTCAAGTTTATTTCGATGCGTTACATGCAGTTTCTTTGCAATTATTTATGAAATTACTTGCAATTTCAGAGTGAAATTTGTTTCTACAACAAAAATGTTTTCAGTGCACACACACTACACATGCAAGTTTGGAATATTTTGGATTATATTTGGACTATTTTAATATATATTTAAAATGTCATTTGATGGGATGACAAAGCTGAATTTTCAGCAGTCATTTCTCCAGTCTGACCCTTTAGAAATTATTCCAATATGCCGATTTGGTGCTTAAGAAATTATTCTCATCCTATTATTTTCAATGCTAAAGTTTTTTTTTCTGCAATATTTTCATGATTCTAAAATATTACTGTTTTTACTGTATTTTTCATCAAATAAATGCAGCCTTGATGAGCAAAAAAAAAAAAGATTACTAATTATTTTAAACTTTTGACCGGTAGTGTATGTGTGTAAATATACATATATACATTACATTTTTGGTTAATTAATTTAGAATAAGAAAGAAAGGTTCCAAGTTGACAGCAGACTGTGATGACGCATGTTTGTCACTCTAAAATTAGCAGTGACACCAGCAGGAGGCAGCCTTGTAAAGCAGCCAGACTGATCTGTCCTCTCATCCATGCGCTTCAAATATGCATGAAAATACCTCGATGAAGGCCATGCTAGTTCTTATCAGTGGTGGGCCGTCAGGGCCAGCAAAGCCTTCTCTGCTGGCCTAAACACTATTAGAATCACTGATTTAGTTTTAATATATTTTTCCATGAATGTGTATTAAATTATTTCCAATAGTCTATTCTCCCTTGATGAGCAAAAAAAAAAAAAGATTACTAATTATTTTAAACTTTTGACCGGTAGTGTATGTGTGTAAATATACATATATACATTACATTTTTGGTTAATTAATTTAGAATAAGAAAGAAAGGTTCCAAGATGACAGCAGACTGTGATGACGCATGTTTGTCACTCTAAAATTAGCAGTGACACCAGCAGGAGGCAGCATTGTAAAGCAGCCAGACTGATCTGTCCTCTCATCCATGCGCTTCAAATATGCATGAAAATACCTCGATGAAGGCTATGCTAGTTCTTATCAGTGGTGGGCCGTCAGGGCCAGCAAAGCCTTTTCTGCTGGCCTAAACACTATTAGAATCACTGATTTAGTTTTAATATATTTTTCCATGAATGTGTATTAAATTATTTCCAATAGTCTATTCTCTTCAGTTCATAGCTTTTCTCTTGGTTGCGCTGCTTCCAGCAGTGTATGTTTATATTAGAGCATTTTTCCAATCATATTTGAGCAATCGTGTTGCCAGGGTCAAAGAAATCTGCCTTATGGCCTTCAGAATCCACAGTGCAGGCGTCTGTTAACTTAAATCAATGGCAATGAAACCGTTGCTTTAACCAATCAGATTTCGAGTTGGCAGCACCGAGGCCATCTAGCTGGCTAACGATAATGTCAGCATTTTCTCGTCCTTTGATTGGATGGTCAGCATACTAGCTAGCAAACAGCATCACTGTAAATCATTTTATTAAAGCTTTTATTACTGTTCCTCAGGTTTAGATTTTCAGTGCATTTTGAAAAAAATATTTGCCTACTATATTTAGTCAATCTAAAAACAGTAGTCCTAATGACTGCGAACAACAACCACACACCTCCCCGGCACCGGCTCTGTGAAAGACTCGTGAAGATGAAAAACCTGGTAGGTTCATTTTCATTTTTGACTTTTTTATCGCTTGATGCGTTGTATGCTGATGTTATTTTCGGGATATAAAGCCAGGTTTAAATTTCCGTAAGAATATCTCAGTTGCCCGAGTGGAGCTGTATTAACCGCAGAGGCAGACCAGCGGGGAGATGAGAGTCACAGAGGTACGTTAAAACACATCTATACACTTTTCTTCATCATCTTGTATGAATTATTTTAATGTTACTTGCTCACTTTCCTAGTAAAGCTGTGCTAACAGTATTTTCCTCCCGCAGTGCGCTGACAGACCGGCGGGGAGACTCGTAAAGACGAAATAAAGCAGTAAGAGAACATTAAATTGTTAGGTCAACTTTAAAACACATGTAATCACCTTATTTGTTTTATACCAATGCTATCTGTAAAGTATAAATACGTTTGGGTGAATAAATGTCTGTAAGAACATCGGATGGACTGTATTTGTGTCATTTTGTTAGGTTAATGCTTCAGCTACAGATGATGTGTTGCGCAATTGTTAATTGGGTTTCTTTCTTTAGTAATGGCATTCATTCTCGCTACATAAGATACCTGTCTGTTATGTAGTGCCCTGTTATACTGCATTACTGTGTAATATTTATGGTTTCTATAGCCGTGGCATCATTATGATGGTATGAAGAGATGGATTAATTCATGTAGGACGCCACTGAAGGCCTAGGTGTAAAAGGCACGGCCCGCCACTGGTTCTTATTATGTAACCTAGCAAAGGTTTTACATGTGTGAACAAAAACAATACATAATGGGTTATCTCACAAAAACATGAAATCAAATACAGTGCGTTGGGTAATAAGCATCTACAGTCTTGATAATATCTAAATTATATACATATATAAAAATAGGTTAAGAGTGAATTATTGTCCTGCATGAGAGCACACACTATATGTTCTTTACTTCAGTGCATCATTATGCAAATCAGATTGACATTATGCATGCTCATTTGAATAGGGCCACACCCTGATTTTCTCATCTTGACAAACTAAATGCTTGGATGTTATTACCCATCCCAGAGAGCGTGAGGACGCATTGTGTTTAACAATCAGTTAAATTTGCTCTTTCCACAGCAGGGGACGGAAAAGCTCTTTCTTTAATTTGCTACATCATC